GGTGACGCGTGCCATTGACGAGAATCTGACAGCTGAGACTATGCGGGCTATTAAGCTGTTTGACAACTCCGCAAGAATAGCATCGGGCGAGTGGTGCTGTTTGAATTAACATTCTTGAAGACAATACAGTTGCTAAGCCGATGTGAGCTATACTAATTGACAGTTCTGCAAGAATGCCACACGGCAAGCGGCGCTGTTTAATTAAGCATTCTTGAAGACATAATGAAGTCTGAATAAAGTGAATTGGCGGCGCGTGCTGTTGAGACGATAAGCGCCATTAACTTACAAAGCAGTGTCTTTTTATGCTTTTGGCATGCATAATTGAGTGAGCGTCAAAGATGTGCGAAAACGGCTTGAGGTGGCCATTTTTTCATGTTGTAATCGGCTGAGAAGGCAGAAAATGAATCGCAAGTTATGAAAATATCAAAAAATGTTTTAATTTGTGACGAAATATCACAAAATGTTTCAATTTGTAATACGCATTCCCATGCGTCTCAGACAGTCATTTACATGCATATTAAATGCCACATAATTAGGTTATAATGTCATAACTGCTTTTTTTTTTAATGTTTACTTTATTCAAACAAAGAAAGGAGTATGAAGCAACTTCAAGCGACAAAAGAATACCGTCATTCCGTACAAAATATTTCCCTCCGGTTTCTTTGATAAACCAGTCCGTACAGCAGACCTATTTTCTGACGAGTGAGCCATATTTTAAATTGAGTGTAGAAACGCTTTCATGGATTGGCAAAATCGTGGAGAGCTTGGGGCAAACTAGTTTTTCATGCTCACAGCCACCTTTTTGGTAGAATTACTTACCGCTTTCGTCGATCTTGTCTACCCAATATGGCAGCGTGATCACTCGATCGAATATTTGACACTTTCTCGCCAAAACAACTTGCCTGTTAAAAAGTATATTTATAAACTAATTCCTATGTAGATGATTTGATTATCATCAATAATCATGTGTTAGAGAAAAAGATAAGACTTGGTTCAAGTCTTCCTCTGACAAACTTTGCCTACCATTTGTTTCTGTAATTTTTAAATCCAGGGTTGCGAAATAAATCAGATATTAGATAGTCAAGAGATAATAATGGGACCATCTTTTTCTCATAGATAGTCTATTACTACGAAGATAGCTTGCAACAAACCGATCAACGTTTTCAACATAACTCAATCAGAGTTTACATGATTAGCACGAAAAAATCGTCATGTTGTTAAACGTAAGTTATTTTTCAGCGCAGCTACTACAATTTATGGCATGCAATGCTAGTTGCACCATGCAAATTCGAAAAAAAATGTAATTCAATGCTCTTCGCTTTCGTCCGTGACACTGCATAACAAGTGAATATATATTGCATTTATATGCCCTCTCGCAGAAAAATTCGTGTATCTTCATTACTTGTTAGCGGTACAATGTGTTGAGCTTTTGGGAAGAAAGGAAAAAAATCCAAAAGAGAAAAAAAGGTGGACATATCAAATCATAACGTTAAATGATTTCAGTGAATAATGATAACTTTATTTACGTGCCGACGTGATTTAGCATTGCTGCTAATTGGGGACACCTAAAACAAGTTGTAATTGTAAGGACTTCGTACAAATGAAATTTTTAAACATTGTAATTATTTACAAGATAAAAGCCTATCTAACAAAATAAAAGTACAAAAGAGAATAAAGTTATGAGTAAAGTAACTGAGAATGAAGAAAGTAGTCACGTTAAACATGTATGACATTTGCAACCACTGCTCGTATCAATTAAAAAGTTCAAATCCCTTTTCCTGTTGTAATTTTAAAAATTCTTAAAACGGAATGATTTAACTTGATTAGGAAGTCTGGTCCATAGTTTTGGACTCAAATATGACACTGAGTGTTTTCCATAAGTCTCTGTCTAGAATCTTGGGAGTTTTCTCGCAGTTTTCTCGTTTGTTATATTTTAATTAAAGTTAAATTCGGTGGCACTGAAAATGAAAGATTTTCCACAAATTTTATCGCGACAGCGGGAGCCGGAAGTGAGCTGTGCTTGTGGTAACCTTATTTCACCTTTCCAATCTTACCTTATTGGTTACAAGGAAGGAATGTCGAAGACAGAAAGTCTGGGGGAAATTCTAACCTGTCCCCTTCAGTTGTTGTAAGAAGCCTCGTGTGCTTTGTAGCGCCTAATAATTGAAGGACTTCATAGCCTATTGCAAGTTTTGGTTTTGGGAAATGATAGAAAAAAGACAAGCTGTAAGTCCATGAACTCACTTCTGTTCCACGATAAAAGTAGCCGTCTGCTGATATTAAATCATCGTCGCGCTCATTATGAGTTGAATTATTTAACTCGTATTCCCGGTTTGTTTCTTGAAATTGTAAGTTTATGCTGACGCAGTTGTTATTCAGGTAACACTGCCACTCACATGAGTCCTGGTCTATGTCCGACATTGCTCTCATCATATGATTAATCAAGCGTTTTCCAATGAAGGAAAAGTAACTTAGAAATTCCAAGACACGAAATTTTTCTGGAAACACATAGTGTTTGGTTACATCTCAGTATAGATCCAGTCAGTAAGTTAGCTCTAGGTGGGACTTTACTTTTTCAGTTCCATTTAATTTCATCCTAAGAGACTAAACTATACTTTGATATTCGGGTGATAATCAAGTGAAGTGGTGATGGTGAGTTGCAATTAAAGAGAGGCATGGTTTGGAGTCCCGTCGGAGCTTGGGTTTTGATAGGGTTCTTTTCTTTAATTTCTGTTATTGAAGCTCCCCTGCATGGAATATTTCTTCACTTGAATAACATCCGCATGCCAAAATATATTTTTTTTATACACATCGCGTTCCCCTTACGGGCCTAAAGAACCCACCGAAGTTTGGCTCGCGCCCGACATGTGGTTTCTTAGCCCTGTTGATAGTGGCGACTAACTAGGTACTTTTCTTAAACAGCAGCTCACTTGCGAGCATCATTTCTTCACACGAGAAACTGTTATGCGATCTGAGATCTAACCGTGCACGCAGAAAGAAAAAAGAGGAACACGAGATAATTTATAGCCTGTTATACAGATGCCTCCTTAAGGAATATTTGTTGCGCTATATGACTGCAATTTAGAGAAAAAGTTTTTTTCACTCATTAATAAGAGACTTAAACTAATTTTCTCGGTTTTTGTTTATGCTTGCGGATGAAACCATGATAATTTATGAGGTGAAGAATAGTTCTAACACATTTGATTTGAATTTAAAGCTGGAAAGCAAAAAAGAATCTCATAGACGAAATAGAAAGAGTCTTTCCATGTCAGCTGAAAAATTTGCCAAAATTACGTGCATACCCTCGAAACATTTAGTGAATCTAACATATTTTATTTATAAATAAAGAAACACGATTAAGTGATCCGTTGGAAGTAGTAATAAATATCATTTTGAAATAATTAAGTTGCTAAAAAGAAAGTTTGCTTAATTACTTTTTACATTGGAAGCTGTTTTTCTCTCACATTTTCTTGCTTCTTTCTGCGGAAGTCGGCACAAAATGAGTTTATTTCCCTAACCCCTTGATTTATAATTTTAGAAAAATTACTCAGTTTCTGACGTGGCAATCATGGTCGCTCTTAGTCAGAGTTGTATCTGAAACTTAGTAGTTTTATCATCACAGTCTAATATCGGAATTGGAAAAGGTAAGAAGACTTCGTTAAAGGTTCTTTGTTTTTCAGAAAAGAGTTAACACAATGGTAAAGAAAGAAAGAATTGGAAACTGAAGGAATCTTCCAGTTTGGCCTGTGAATTCACTTTTTCCTGAGCTGTTTTTAGACAGCCTCCGAATTCGAAAAAGACACACTTACAAAACTGAACTCCAAAAGATCAAGCTTAAGAAAATCTAAGGAAATCGTGAAGTTGAATTCAATAAGAAGCTGGAGAAAATATTTTCTAAGTCAACTCGAGCTGATATTAACTGGTCTGTTGCCCTGCGAAGAATCATAACTGAGGGGTTTTGTTTGTACAGGTATATAGTAAATGATTCTGGTGGACTTATTAATAAAAATGGATAATTTAAGTAAAATTTGAATAATTTATGCTAGTAAAGAGTTGGAAGTGATTGTGCTATCTTGGAATTTGCCGTTCGCAGCAGTTTAATCCCTTATTATTTGCTTACACAATGATGAGGTTGTCAACTGTCAACTGGCCTACATCCATGGTGCGGCTCATTACCACTTCTCTGTTCCTCTACATTTTGACGTCATCTGTAATCCATTTCTATAACAGATTAACGATAACTGTCTTTATGCAAAAGAGCGGAGAAGGTACAAAATGAAGTAGCCTTTCTTAAGTAAATTCCTTACTGTTTTCAAATGTATACCATATTAACGTAGTAAATAAGAAATGAAACAGACTGAGAACAGCAAAAAAATACTGTTACTTTGCAAAGAAAATTTTCTTCTTCCATGTAGGTATCTATGCAGGTTTTAATAATAAACTTACTCCTAGTAATAAACCAATTCTTATCGATAACTATGCATTACAGAACAAGGTATGTGTAAGATAAAAAAGCCTATTCGCAGTTAAAATTAAACCCTCTGTAAGGTTCTGTAAATAAATGAAATACATTTTCACAGTGATTTGTCGCAAGGTATGGCACATCAGACCACAAAACGATCAAAAAGCTTTGTGAAAACATGATTCAACCAAATGTTATTTTCTGTTGGAAAAGCTTGGAAGCTTCTGGATGTTACACAACGAACTTTTTACAGCGAAGAAACTACAGTCTTTAGCGCTACAAGCTAGTTACAAAGCGATATAAGAAACATAATATCAAAAATACTACAACAACCGACTTCAGTAAATATTGAGTTGAGTCACCCGCTTGTTAACGTGCAAGTCATTTCCATCACCTATTTACTGGTTGATGTAGTGAGCTTTACATGATAATTTTCTCTGAACAGCGAAGGGTTTTAAAATCTTGTAGAGAGGTATTCGCCTCTTTACCACAAGGTGAAACGAGATAAACTTAGTTTTAGGGGGGGCTTGCCTTTATTTCACGGCTGGGCTTCCTTAGATAAGTAGAAAACCTCGAGTTCGTCTGGTCTGAAATTTTTGACACCTGCCAGGATGGTTTGAGGGTTTTGAATAGTGATATTACTTGGAAGGAAGTAGTCATTACCAAAATTTGTGACTGAACTAGTGTAATCGGTGGGTTGGTTTGGATATCTATCTATTCGGATGTCGTTATTCCCAAACGTTGGTCCAAGGTATATATGATTAGAAGTGGCGTTTTCTGAGTTTCTTATCATGCTTTTAAAAGCTCTAGTTTGTTGGCTGTTATTTAAAGAGAAAATGAACGCGTTGGGTGTCTTGCCATACTTTTCCTTTCCTTTACCTGAAACTGCAAAAATGGGTCTAACTGAATTCAGCACGTTCACTTTTTAGCGAATCACGCCGAGTTGTACAAGAAAAAAGAAAGAAGCAAACAAAATGAAACAAGCAAAGAAACTAAGACATAAGATTCAAGACTTTAAGCATGGGCTTATCTCTCGCTAAAGTACCTACCGTCTGGGATGTGTTACACACTGTTTTCGTCGCGCCTTATTACCACAGGCAGTTCACGAATTTGAAACGTATAAATATATGCGTCATTGTCAAACGCGTGAATTAAACCGGTCACCGGAACACATCAAAAAGAGGACTCTCAACCTTTGGTTAGGTATGACCTTGTTAAAGTGTGAAATAATCTCAGGTAATTTAGTGTTAACAACTGAGTTAAAAACGTAAATTAGCCACGGTAAAGGGTAAAAAAGCTGACGTTTCGAGCGTGAGCCCTTTCGTCAGATCGCTTTGACGAAGGGCTAACACTCGAAACGTCAACTTTTTTACCCTTTACGGTGGCTAATTCACGTTTTCAACTTAGTTGTTAACACTAAATTACCTGCTATACTCTCCCACCGACGCAGCACCACAGTTATCCCTTCATTTATTTGTGAAATAATCTCAATTTCGTCATCCTCAACGACCCAAGCAAGCAGTGCGCACGGAGAGTTCAGTGAGTTCAATTTGAGGATTGGATACTGCACCATGTTAAAAAGCAATAAAGCCGAGGTACTAATTTTTTGCAATTATACCGCAAATGTTTGTTCTAGTAACTTTAAAGAAGTTCCCAGAATTCACCAGGTATGTAGGCAGGCTACAAGCAGTTTTTCACGGGATGAAAGCGGGAAATCTCGAGGCGGTAAGATGGGCCCATTTTGCGTTCTCGTGTAATCATTATAGACCCAGAAGAGTTTAATTCCATCATTGAGTCTGGAATTTTTAGCGAAAAGGTTGTCAGTTGTTATAAAATAACCAAGATATTACTACGAGCGTCCTGATTGGTCAAAAACCTATCCCTAATTGCACCGTTAAACCTCTTGGAAATTGAAATTAATTCTATAAAAAAAAATACCGCACTATTTTTCGGTTTACCGGTAATAACGCAGAATATTGGGAGAACACAGCTCGTGGTTTACAAACTTTTCTTTTGTTCTTCCAACACCCCGCGTGGGTTAGTATACCGGCCGGTGAACAGATAGAAAGTGCAGTCTATTAGGTCAATGGCTTACACCAAGGAATGTCGATATATCCACCAAATACGTAGTCATTCACTTTTATGATTGTGATAGTGTCATTTTTTCCATCGCACTTCTTGTGAAAAGTAGCATCTGCGATATTCCCAGGGGAAGCGCGAAAGCACAACGACCAGTGACAAACGTTTCCAACAGCTGGAACCAGGAATCCATACAGATGACTGCGGTAATATTTATTGTCTGATAATATTGTTGACTCGATGGAGAACTCTGTAAAAAAAATAACTGTCAGTGGATTTGAGAGCCGATGATTAAGTAAAAGGGTCCTTTAGCTTGTTTCGTAATGGGCGTTCTCTTTTTGTACAGTTGCATCGCTGCTGACTGATCATGAGTGCTTAGACAGGTGCAATCTAATTGAGTCATGACTTTTGTTTTCATTTGTTTGATCGAGTAGGTATAGCGGGTTTCTTGACCAATATAGCGGCGTAAAGCGAACTAAAAACTGTGCAATACTGGATTCCGACAATTGATAAACAAGGGCGCTGTCTGTTTTGCATTCAGTACAAAATTTTGTCTTCTATTAATTTGTCCAACAGGCCAATATCATGGTTATAGACCATCTTCTTAAAGGAACAGTCTTTACCAGGTTTCTCGCAGGTGTATCCGTCTCCATAATATCCCTCTCGGCACTTACAGTAGTAGGACCCAGCGGTATTGTGACAACAAGCATGTTCACTGCATTCGTTGACTTGAGAGCACTCATCGACATCTGTGAGAGACAAGTTGATTTACATGTTCAGTTCATGTACAGCCAATTGTCAACCAGTTTATATGATTTTGTATGTACGCCAATTGTTTATGATCAATAATTGGTCATGATTGTTAACTCTAGATTCTCTCTTTTCCACACCTTTCATCACTCTATTCTAATGGTGAGATTCAGGTTTTTTTCTTTCTTTTACATTTATTGAAGGATAAAGAGCTTCAAGGTTCAGATTATTGTTCAAGAAAAGTGTCATACAAACGAAGCTTGATTAGAACCTACTGAAAATTGCGGAATCATGCATTCTGTTTTTTCAAATCTCCCATGATACACCTTAATTTTCGTTATAAGATTTTTGTAAGCATTTTTTTATGATTTGGACGATTTCGGGTCCCACAGATATTGAAAAAAATGCGGAACACAAAATGTAATGCGAGGGGGGGGGAGAGGCAAACGGAATTTCCTTGGATAATGATTACTCGCTAGTGTTTTCAAAAGTCATTTCTACATGTACACTTGTGTCCGTTTGCGCTTTTGTGGTTTACTAATTGAGACCACCGTGTGGCGACAACTCTTAGGGTAGCTGCAGGAGACACTAAGCTCTCTAGTCACTCAAACAAAAAAAAAGTGAAACACAACTTTCGTGTAAGAGCTGTTGCTTTTTCTCTTCTTTTTTTTTTGTTAAACTATTATAACACTCCCGTCTGTTTACCAGCATAACACACTTTGGACGACAGAATAATACTCTGACAACTTTAGATTTTGTACTGTTTGCCAACTATACTGCGTGGTTTATTGCAATGGCAAAGCAATAGTGAGTGCATTAGTAACCAGCTCTTTTCCATTTACCTTCTCCACAGTCATGGCCTGTATATCCAGAAATACATAAGCAGCGATACCTTTTGCTTGTGAAACCAGATTGGCAAATTGCGCTGTTCTTGCAGGGTGAACCACCGCAAGCATTCTGGGAAATATGAGGTAAAGCACGGGATTTGTCATATATCAGATTTATTAGTTATTTAAAAATTCTATCAACAGACAGCTTCCTTGACTTCATTATAAATCTGTTGAACTGAAGTAAGGATAGGCGTTACGCTGAAAAAAGACCTGATCTGATAAATGCCGGAAACAAACTCCGAACAGAAAAAGTTGTCGAGAAAAATAGTATAAGTTTTTCTTGCTTGCTACACACTAATTTGTTCATAAAATCAAATAAAATCAAATAAAATCAAATAAGATCAAATCAAATCAACAAATCAGTGCAAGACAACCCTTCATGGTGGCAAGTTTTGAAAGGAAGTCGCTCACCTAAGTATAAATTGGATGGTCGCAGAAATTGACGAACTGAATTAAACAATTTTTCGTGAATTCACATGAAAACGTCGATTGAAAGACTCGAGGAAAGCTGCACTTGAGGCCGCTCTGATTGCACCCTCCCTTGTAACGCATTTGATAGGAAAGTAGCCTAGAAGAGGGGAGGGGGGGGTTTGGGCGCGCGCGTGGCTTCCTCTCCCTTATTGTGAAACTTCTGGAAGCATACTATTACAATCCAACGAGCTTGTGCGGAACCAAAATCTTGAAACTTGTTTGGTGTTACATCAACTCGAAATGGATAATTAAAGTACAAACTATATAATAACATGAACTCACTTCTGTTCCACGATAAAAGTAGCCCTCTGCTCCGATAAAGTCCTCGTGGTGTTCATTATGAGTTGAATTACTCAACTCGCAGTTTCGTTCTGTTCCTTCAAACTGTAAGTTTATGCTGACGCAGTTGTTGTCCAGATAACACTGCCACTCACATGAGTCCTGGTCCATTCCCGGTATAGTTTTGATTAGGTGATTAATCAAGCGTTTTCCAACAATGGAAAGGTAGCTTGGGAATTCTATTATGCGGCAGTTGCCTGTAAAACAGTTAGTTGAAGTCTTCGGTTATGTATATCAGAATAGATCGAACGAAAACTGAGTGGAAATTATTCTCAGCTTAATGAATAAAGGGGTAAGTTTCTAAATAAACTGTGGTGCTGCGTCGGTGGGAGAGTATAACAGGGTAATTAAGTATTATCAACTGAGTTGATAACATAAATTTGCCACAGTAGAGGGTTTAAAAGCTGACGTTTTGAGCGTTAGCCCTTCGTCAGAGCGATTGACGAAGGGCTAACGCTCAAAACGTTAGCTTTTAAACTCTTTACGGAAGCCAATTTACGTTATTAACTCAGTTGATAATACGAAATTACTCTGTTATTCTCAGCCTACCTTAACACGTTTTCATTTGCATAGCGAAATTTGCGTCCACAGATTTCTTAAAGGTACTTAGACCTAGACCACCCGCTATAATTACGTTAGACCACCCGCCATACAGATGTCCATCCTCATCAATACAGTTTATCATTTATCATGTGATTTATCATAATATTTGAGTGAGTAAGGTTTTTCACTAATCACTCACAAACTCCTTTACTCACATTTCATTGTTAAAACTCCGCTTTTTTATTGCGCGGACAAGGCCATGATAATTTTTGAAGTGAGATATAGTTTAATTGCATTTGAATTTAATTAAAGCTAAAAGGCACGCCAAAGCTGGCTTAGATCTATTGAAAAGTTTTTCATTGTCACGCAATTGTCGTCGGAGCTTACTGAATCTTAAACGATTGATTCAAAAAGGAAAAAAAAGCATTATTTAGAAACGTGTTGTAACGAATACTAGAGACGGGTTTGACATGAAAGACTTGCTTAAAAGGGTCGAGCGGGTCATGTGAAACTTTAAACAGACCTAAAGTGCAAACAAGGTTATCGACGTTATAATTATAATTATAAGCCTTATAAGAATCATAATTGTGACCTAAGGATGAGAAAATCGTTAGTCGAGTGCTGGCTGAACATCATAGAAAGGACGAAACCAATTTCTGTAGCATATAAAACAAAGTTAAGGAACCTTAAAGAGACATTAAAGAGAAAACTTACCATCAGTACACGCTGAAACCGGATCTAGGAGAGTTATTAAAATAAAGACGCACAAAGCATTCATGATCTCTTGATGGTAGTTAGGTAAAATTGGTAGTACTTATTTGAATGCTGGCCATAAGAAAAATCCACTCGCCGTAGAGCTTCTCTTGAAATTTTGGACATATACAACCGTGCATTTCTTTGTTAAACGTTAAACTTATCTAAGTTTCAGGTTACCTCTGCACGTGAACTCAGATCTAACCAATGGTAAGGTCTTACTAAAAGCAGATGTTCTTCAAAATATGACCACTCGAAATTAATAACGCTGCAGAATAAATGGTGTTAATCGTCTTTGAGCCAATTTGTATCCAATTTATCACAAAAGTTATCGACACGTACCTAAAACCGCATTTATTTCACTAGTGAGATCTAAATTTCGAGTTGGAAAAGCAAAGAAAAATTTCGGGAGTTGTTTTGTCTCTGTCCGCCTCGGTAAGAGTTGCAACGAAAGCGGGGAAAGAGATTGCAAGGAAAACCAAAAGAATCCTCCAATTCAGTGTGTGACTCATGGTTGATCATTGGCAGACTCCGAATGAGAAAAACTCTTACTAATCTGGCGATAGAGGGAAATTGAAAAGTAGTCTGAATTTAAAAAGAGCTATTTCAAACAGCAACACTAGTTCCAAACGTTAACCGTGGTTTTGCAACGTGGTTTTCGAACCCTCGATAACTCATTCCCCTCCCCTCTTCCTGGCAAGAAATCACGAATCCGAGGAACCAAGGTTAAAATTTCTTATTCTTCAACTTGGATAGAGTAGTGAAGTCACAAATTGTAAAATTTCTCAAGATAAAATATTTATTATTAGAATTTTTGTTTGGTACTTGTTAGTGATTTTCATTTGACAAAAATAACTGACCCAAAAATAAACGCTCACTAACACAATGCATCAACACTGAAGATAAGCACAATCGAAGTCAAGAAAATATAACTTACGTGGATCAATATCAGTATCTGGGCAACTGCCCACTTACCCCCCCCCCCCCCAACTCAACACCAGTCAATTGATTACAAGTTAGGGTTGATGTTGGGTTAGGGGAGGGGTAGGTGGGTAGTTACCCAGATACTGATATTGATCCACTTACGTTAACTCGAGACATTTCAATAAATCCTTAAAACAGCAGGACATACCAACATCACAAAACCAATCAAATAAAACTTGATAATACTCAAAGCTCTTAACTTACTTACAATTTTCACTGAAGCGTTTGGTACGTCTTATTTTCTTCAAAAATAGAACTATTCCTTATTTGCAACGCAAATAAAAAGTAAATATATATATTTTTCTCAAAGAGACCACTTATCCCCTCCAGAGAAAGTTGATACTTCCAATTTAAGGCAACAAGGAGGTCCATGTAAAGACATCGATCGCTTCAAAAGAAAACCAATTTTTTGTAAAGTGGACCCAAAATCCCTCTACAGTAAAATATAAGTCACATAAAATCCCGGCCAATTGCATTAAGAAAACGAAATTGTCAATACCATGTGGGTTACACCAACTCCTTCTTCTTTAAATTCCTTATGAAAATCATTAATCTACCCTAGCTATCCCCAAAATACTTAGCCAAACACTCCCCCCTCCAAATAAATTGTCAAATTTTGTCCCTCGGAAATATTCTTTCTACTTTCTGTTATTTAAAATTAAGGGACCAATACCTCCCTTGGCCACCCATATAATTTTACTATTCTCTTTGTCTCTATTCAAATGACGGTATTAACTACTGAATAAATCATCCACACCTCAGTGTATTACTATTCTACGCGACAGAAATAAAGAAAAAAAACAACATTAGTTGTTTATAATTTGTCTCGTTGAATTACACAAGAACAGAAAAATTCTTTGAAAAACTGCCAGCGATTAAAAAGCCTGTAGTTGACTATTGGTCAGATGTAGACAGGCATGAAAGCAGAAAATGAAAAAGAGTGAAAGTTGAAGGGGATTTGGTAAAGGAAAATGCTCCTCAATCTCCCACCTCTTTTTCTCACTTCACCTGTCTTTTCTTTTATCTCCATTTAGTAAGTGCCTTAAAAAGGCAGGGTACCAGACAATTGGGAAGATAAGCACACTAGCACAGCCTTCCAAAAGAAAGCATGTTACAAAGAAGGCTTAACAAAATTGTGATGAAGAGGCTGATACAAATGGGTTAAAATTCTGTCAGATAAGCATCTTTTTTGCAATCAATATCTCCACTGCATGTTTGCTCTAGAAGTCTGTCAATAGTTCTTCTACTTTATACCCCCAGTTTCCTTGGAAAGATTACTGAAAGCATTTAGCATCAGGAACAAAATCTGTCAAGGAAAGAGGATGCAAACTTCGACAGTTTTGCTTTTAATTTAAGGCTGGTTACTTGTAAATATCCTAATTAATCTTAATTAATCAGTAATTAGGATTTACTGAAGATTGATAAGTTCTGATAATCGATCAAAAGATCAATTTATGTTTTGCCAAGCACAACCTTGCACAGACCTCATCTTTCTTTTCAAGAAGTATGAGACTTAAAATAATTGTTGTGTGAGCCTCTCCTTTGTCGTTTTCTAATAAAGAAAAGAAACAGAAAAAATATGTGTTAAGTGGTCATATTTACTGTTGTGCAGCAAATTCACTTTAACAAAGGCTACTGTAGCAACAAAGGATAGACTGCAATAGTACAGGTTTCAAGTCTAGATTGTAATGCATCAATCAATTTGAAGCTGTAACATCCCTCCCACAAGCAACCCCCAGGGCATTTAAACTTTTGAAGATAGGTTTGTTGAAATTCCTGCCCACCATGGGCCAAAATTGCATTCAAATGCCCCAGTCAAGCACAATTTTTTATAAATAATTCTTTTTGTGATCAACAAATGTTGTAAAATCAAAAGTCACGTATTCCACTGGTTCAAATTCCCCCCCCCCACCCCACCCATGCAAGGTTCAAATTCCCCACTCCTAGGGCATGGAAAACAGTAAAATTCCCATGGGTTGTCCAAGGGGAAAGGAAGAATGTTGAAGCTTCAAATTGATTGGTGCATAAGAAATGCATATTTTGCTTTAGGGCAGAGAGGCACATGTACACTGTACCCTCTAAGTGACTGCTTTAACTCAGGAACAATCAGCTCAATCAGAATCTTATTGTTTAGACAAAGAAAAATACACTTTACTCATCAAAATAGAATAAAGCTACTACTCATCATTTAACAATTATTTATACTCTGATCAAAAGATAGAGACCTCTGACTAGTGTTGCATCAAAAGTCACAAACACCTAGTAAATTTTAAGGATTTTGAACCATGGCTGTAATGTGCATAAATTACACTTACTTCATTTCTGTTCTTGACTGTGTATATTCAAACCACATGACTGATGGGATTAGCGTTGAATCACGGATCATTAAGTATTCACTGATAGGCCTGTTAAAAATGAGTTGTATAACAAACAGCAAACACTCTGAGACCATGTCTCTCTTGGTTATATTGTGGCCCACTAAAACTAAGCTAAATGTATAATTGTACTTATATACATGTACTATGCAGGTAATCAAATCAATTATAGAACTATTGGACTACAATTTCCCCTTATCATTTGAAATCTACTTTACATGTAAGTAGATGAATCTGTAAAGATCATTACATCCTTTCCATGGCCAGAATCTTAGTACAGTTGAATGCTGATAACTTGAACCCTCAGTAACTTGAATTCCCTGCTAACTTGAAGCAAGACTGATTTCCCTTAGATTTGCCTCATATAGTATATTTACTGTAATTTTAACCCCTATAACTCAAAACCTCAATAACTCAAAACCCTGGTAACTCGAAGTGATTTTCACTTTCCTTCATGAACTTTTCTTTGTTATTTTACCCTTGATAACTTGAAGTTGGTTTTCACTTTTACAGACTAATGAGCCATAATATTTTGCACTGGAAGACTATTTTTCATATCAAGCATGTGTCTGAATAGATTTTTCAACAAATGTTAAAATGAGATTGAGTGCCAAACATTCTGAAGAGCAGCTACTTTAGAGTATTTGTGGTTTTCATGGTTTTGTATTGTTTTCTTACATTTTGTTTTGTTGTATTATGCTCTTACATTGCTAGAAATCTTAAAATAAAACATGTATAAGGATAAAACCTCTTTAATCAAGTGTTTCTGGTCTTTTTGTTCAAAACCCCTAAAACTCAAAACCTGTGATAACACAAAGTTGGCAGTTCAAGTTACCGAGTTCAACTGTATTCAACATTGCATGTGTTGTAGCTCCATCTTAATACCAGGAAACAAAATGTGTACAAGAATTTGTTCTATAGATCAGAAGTTCAGAGAGATTGTGAATCAACTTTTGCAATTACATGTAAAAGGCTTCATGTACAAGTCATGTACTTAATATTATATAATTGTCACTTACCAGGTTGTTACAGTTGGAAAGATTGGTGTGAGAACTGTCTGTGTGAAAAGAAACCAAGCAATGCCAAGTCCACATCCCAGCAGAAAGCCATAACCCACTTGCTGTGGGGTGTGATATCTGAGGTATATTCTGTAAAATAAAATAAAAAAATTGCAAACTTAAGTATCCATTAACATTTTATCACTTGAGTGTTACATTTATCCTGGAGACAGTCTGGCAGTGTAGGTGGAGCTCTGGAGCAAAAGCTCTACCACTGAGTCCTTGGTGAGACATTGTGTTGTGTCCTTAGGTGTCGTGTCCTCAGGTTTCCAGGGTATGAGGTTGGCAGCAGACAAGCAAGATTTTAAATTGAATGCAATGAATTGTCATATTTGAACAAAAATACATTCATTTGATAATTATTGTTTTGGTAAGTATTTCTGTGAAATAGCAGATAATGTTCTTTTGAACAGCCAAGAAAAATAAGCAGTGACTGGCTTTTCACAAGAGCCCTCCGGAGGGAAGAAGGGGGGGGAACCTGCAGTGACAAGCATCTCATCTAAGGAGAGTAGCAAGACCCCCAATTACTTAACCCTTTGACCCCTAATAAAGATCCAGCATCTAATTTCTCCCTACAATATCTCCCCAAAATTCTACATTAAGGTCACAAGAATGAAGGAAATGATCACCAACTGAAGAAGCTCTTGATTTTGAAACAAATTCTCCTGGTCAGAACCTTACATGTTGGAAATTTATAGAGGACAGTATGGAGAATATGCACTCTGATGTTAGGGTGTAAAGAGTTAAAGCTGAAGACACTGAGATAAGTGGGGTACACTGTATGAGTAGTTTTAATGTTTTATCAAAAATCAATACTCTTATACAATACTCAGAGATTTCTGACAGTAATAGCAACCTCTTTGAAGTGACCAACATACTGTCACCAACCTACTAAATCCAACAGCAACAGCAGCCAATACAACACCAACTGCTAGTACATGCCGCCATAAGTTGTCTATTAAATCATCCCATACTGTGGTTGCTTGAGAAAAATGTAGAAGCCTGAAAATAGACAAATGAATTTTTACTTGTTTGTCAATAAAATGAGGTATTACTGGCAAGGCTTTGATAAAGATATTCCTTGAGATAGGGATTAATATTTACCTGATAGAAACTTGTGTTTTCTATATTTTTTGCAACTCTCTCTCTCTTATGGATAGTTTTCTTAAGGTCAGACCTGCACTAGTTTTCTTGCAGTTACATGTAGCTGCTGTTTCCTTGTAGGACTAGCACCATTTATGTGCATTTGGATAGCAGTGTCTAGTTTCCCACTGCACATTTCATTTTGGAGCATATTATCTGTTTATTGTGAAGGGCTAATGCTTCGAAGGGCTAACGCTTGAAATGTCAGCTTTTTTACCCTTTATGTCAGCTTTATTACCCTTACGGTGGCTAATTTACGTTTTCAACTCAGTTGTTAACACTAAATTACCTGCTATACTCTCCCACCGATGCGGCACCACAGTTTCTTTAGAAACTTAACCCTTTATCTATTTTCATTAGACCCTGAGTGTTTGCTTACCTTACATATATAAACAGGACAGAATACACAGCAAAGAAAGCCATAAACTGAGCATGATCTGATGGCATTGCACTTCCAGAATGTGCAAACACATGACCCCCACATAGTCTAGGATATGCCAAAGAGTGTTTCACCACCATGTTAACAAGTTCATTCATTAAAATTCCTCCAAAGAATGTCATCTGCAACAGAAGAACCCTCTCTGTCAATGTAAAGAAAGACTGTAAGTAAATACATACACATAATAATACAGGGAAAATAGACTGATATAATTTACTTAAAATGAGTCATAACTATTTGTAAACACGCACATTTGGTGCATGCAAAAAAAATTAAAACCAGACATTCTTTGAAGCTTCTTACAATATCTGGTGTGCATAGAATTTTAATCCTTGTTGAAAACCAAGATATTTTAAAGTCCAAAGTAACTCACATCTTTCAATAATCAACCACTGGGCCTCACCTGATATTAGTTTTCTTATCATATCATTACAGTGGTACATATAGCTCTCAACCGTCTGCCTTTGATATTACAGATGCAAGCTTTGTACAGGATGCTTGGCTCATTTCAAATTTTAGTTATTTATATTACTTGGCTAACCTGTGAGATGGATCAGTGTAGCTTATCTAACAAAACCTTCAAAGTTGAAACATCATGATTTGCAAGGATTTACATCTTCAACAAGGATATCAATGCAAAGTAGCCCTTTCAAAACTTGACTTAAAAAATAGTAAATATCTCTCCTCTCCTTTTATGTCTTCACATAAGATTTACAGGAAATCATATATAGTACTGATGTGTGTCACACAGATGAGTGACATTGTCAAGAAATGTTACCCTATGACAGACAAGAATTTGTTGATAGGGGATATATTACTGCAAGGCACACCAGTAAGATACATGTACCTTCTAGACTAAAAAATCGGTATTGAACCGGTTAATACTCATGAGCTGTAATTCTAGGAGTAAAACACTGTAAATAGTGACGTAAAATTACATCTTCTATCAAAGACGACCTCTCTTCCGGATTTCAATCACAGTCCATACATTGAAAATAAACCAACCTACCGTGTGAACTTCACGTCGGAAAATTATTAAAGTAATAAAACCAACCACGATAAATATAGGAAGCAGACTACACCATGCCAAGATCTTCCCCGTAATATCTCCTGTAACGTATAAGGAAAAATGACATGAGCTGGTTTTACCTTGTGGGCTTATATAACCGTACCACATCTGAGGTAAAAACTTAACATGCTTGCAGCAAATCCAATAGCGGGTTGATGGTGCTAAAAAAAGACGACAGAGGTCCAAAAAATTATGTTATTACCTTCTGGATATTCCACGTGAGTGAGAGATATTGTTTTCCATTTAACATTGTCTCCGGCCAAATCAAAAAGGTAGGAATCTTTACCACTTTGGCAAGACTGTCTTAACGTGTCTTCCGCCATATTGAATTTCCCATGGTGCTTAGCAGCATTTACTTCCATGATGCTTTGGAAGGCGGGAATTATCAAGATGGCGTCTGAATCCATGGAGATATGGTAATGCCAAGGTTTGAAAACTGTCTAATCCCTCTTCGTAAACTTGATATTTTGATGAACAACGGGTCTTGAAAAGTTTTAGTTCATGGATGCAATCAGTCTTAATGACGAAGTTTGCTTAACTAAGAGTCCGAGAAAGTCGAGTGCGTCAAGTACAAGAAGCTGCCCTGTAACCGAGAGATGCAGACAAGAACTGGAAGATTATGATATCGAGTTTGATGTCAGGCCTCCGAGTGGTACAAACCATCAGGTAACTTATTTTTATGATTGGAAATGAAATACAGCCGTTGCTACTTAATCGAGTAAGCTGCTCTACGCACCAGTTCGCTTGCAAGATGCAAACGAAAGTTTTTAAAGTAAAGAAGTAGAAATAATTTTTTAGATAGGTCTAATTTGTTGACACTAAAAATCATGATTTAACTTTACCTACAAACTGTAAATCTCAAATTGTGATTCCCGAAAATAAGTGTTTTAACGACTTTAAAGGAAACGGTTATGTTGCATCGGTAGGCAAAGTAAACAGTAAGTTACTTATTTCCTAGAAGTTTATTGGAGGATTTAAGCTCAATTGAGTGAAGCACTAATAGAGATGTTTTGAAAACCTGGCGTTTCGATGGTTAGACTAATGGCAAAGTATAATAAATCGCCCAGTAAATCGAAACTTCATTTGTTAAACTTGCTTTTATGGTATAGTTACCATTAGTTTCTTGACCTAGTATTTCAGAAAATGACTCTGCCATCACTAGCCTTGGTACTGTACCCCACCATACCTAGGAATTTAACAATCTTTAATAACACGTTTTTTCATCTAATTGATCAGTTGAACCTTGTGTAGGTTACTCAAAAAAAAAAGAAAAGTTTTAATATTGATACACTAATTTTCACTCTCAAATACCTCTGTAAACATTTTAATAGTAATGTTTATTACTATCAAAGGCCAAACTATTGAGAGAATATAACATTATTTTATAAGTTGGGAAAGGTCTCATAATACTGAAATTCAAAACTTAAAATTACTGATTCTAAATAGAATAAGGAATTGGTAAGATTCCTCATGGGGACTCAGAATTTTTTCTTTGTCCCACGCTCATGACAAGACAAGAAAACATCTTTTTTTACTTCTTTACCAAGCTCAGAACATATCATCTTTCCCATTCCAAAAAAAAGTCTGAATGCCTCTAAGTGGTAGAGCACCAGAGTGCTGATTCAAAGGTCTGAGGCTCAATTCCTTATGGGGACTCAGAATTTTATCTTTGTCCCAGGGTAGAGACAAGAAGAATAAACATCTTTCTCTAAGTTCACATTAAGTCCTCAAGCTTAAAGCTTTGGATAAGTTCCATTTACAGCTATACATTGATTCTGTCAACTGAACAAGGGGGGAATTGGTTTCTATTAGATACCACTAAACTGTAGAAAAATCCACCAACAAAACCACAAGAAAAAATTCAATCAAAACCAAAAACTGCATGTAATATTGTCAAAAGCGATAAATTTTCACATCACAGTGTGAAAACCCTAATTGATCTATTACAGAGGTGAACAAGTGGAGCAAAAAGAGATTTTGAGGCTATGCAAAGTCTGTAGAGGTGAAAAATTGCCGCTCAGATTGAAAAGGAACTGGAACCCAAACAAGAAAAACTGGAAACCACATTGGAAACCAAATCTGAAAACCCATTGGTATTTTTGAGGAAAACTGAAAACCAAACGCTTATTTGAAACAGAAAATCTGTGAACTGCAATGAGCACCAAAACTGCAAAACCTAAGTTTTTTGGCACAAAAATGAAAAAACAGATCTAAAAAAATTGCCACAACCGCAAAACAGAAATCCCAAGGCCCTACTCCTGTACATATTTTGATGTAAACTTTATTTTATATTTCACCTTACTTGAAGATTACAAAAAGGGTAGATGATTTTGAAAATTGGAAAAATGCATATTTAGTACATGTACATGCAGTCTACTGTGTGGGGACATTATGCAGTAGGTGCCATTATTCCTAATAACTAACCTTCTGTGGTATATGACCTGTTCATCATGATGGTAAGAAATCTCTTTGGATTTTCTTTATTTGAAAGTGTAACTATTGGTGTTTCTAAATGTTTTAAACTTTTCAGCAACCAGGAAAGCACTTGAGCATAGACACGAGATTTTCAGAACTTAGCCTTGGTAAGAGTACATCTTTTACAATGTTTTGTTGAAAGTTGTTTATTTAGGGCTCGTTAATAATGAACCCATGTAAATTCATGAGCATTTTCAAATTCACTTTCATCTGTCTGTCTTAATTTGGGTTATTGTGATTAAGTTAACTGTTAATTTACCCTTAATTCTTGAATTGAACTCTTAACGTCTTCATGTACAAAGTTCTACAATTCTTGTCAGGGATTATATAGACTGACACTTCGAACTGGTTGTTCCAGTAGCACTTTGTTACAGAACATTTTTGTAAACTACCTGTACATGTATTTCCATTCTTTAATTGCCTCATGCAAGAAATGTCACCTCCTCAAAAAAGAAAATTCCTTGCATAAATGAACATGCTTCTCACATGTTATGGCAGTTGCTTAAGTTATATTTGGTGGTTCTGAAAGTTAATACCACTCTGTATAATTTTACAGAAAATTCCTCATTAGTTGCTGAAAGTGAAAGAGATCAATCCAGGTTACCGAAAAGTTTATCCACCTCTCGAAACAGAATCAGACACAGCAGAGTGCAGGTCCCAAAAGGAAATTTTTACATCACTTCTCCTTTTAAACAAGGGCCAGAGAAAGATGTGAAAGGACCAGTTTTGGTAAGGTTTTGGTCAGAGGTTGATTTTACATGTAACTGGTGACGTAAGTCTCTAGTAAAGCTAGATCTAAATGGCTATGTTCTTATCTCATTATCAGCATTAACATACATTAGGGCTCAGTAACTTTAAATTCAAAATACCACTATGTTTGAAAGCCTCTAACAGCTTCCATTTTAACTATTGTTGGTTTTGCAACCTTAGAGACGTATGCTTTACATAGTGTTCGTTAAATCTAGATGACATTTCAGAATAAAAAACTTAATTCTCACCCCCTTCCCTCTCCCTAAGAAGCTCTTAGTGTGATATCCCTGGAATGGAGTTAATAAGCACCTTGTGGGTTGTTTATGTGGTAATGGGGCACATCAAAACTCATGTTCTTCTATTGTGTGCAGGTCATTGATCCTAGTCTTGAATTGAAGCAGCGGACCACTGCTGGAGTTGAAAAGATTAGGAAGCAGCTGGAAAGGACAAAACGCACTAGAAATATGATTCTTCCTCCTGCACAGTTACAAAGAGGTCACCTTAAGGCGCTTGGGCGGCCTATGACAGCCTCTGGTCCTCTCGTGAACAATTGTCAAGGAATTGTGGCTGGTGAGTCTGTGCTTTGTTTAAGTGACCCTAAGCTTACTAATACAGTGTAGATGGAATTAAGTAGATCTTACATACTGCATAAATATCAGAGTTTGTCTCTATATACTGTGCAATTACGATTCTGCCCAAATGCACTCGCTAGTACCCGCTCTTCAGCGCCATCGCAAGTGCATGAGCATATGTGCACTCAAACGGAGACAGCAAATAGAAAAAATTGAGTGTACAATTTTTGTTTTAGTCCGAGTGGTGAGAACATGAGCAAGACGAGCGTAAAAGAGCAAATTTGTGTGAACCCTCGCTAGCTCGTTTCGCTCTAAGTCTCTCGCGCTAGGTTTAATCGTGGGCCTCCTATGCGGGCGAAATATTATCTGTTTTATCTTATTTCGTCTTCAGGTGCACGACGGTATCATAGTTTTGCAAGAAGGCAGACCAGCCCTTCACTAGAGCGTGTCAAGTCCTCTAGAGTGTTCTCAACTTCGGACACAGCCTTACCTGCCGCTGCACGGCTTAGAAGTCCTAGTCAGTTATGGCGCCCAGAAAGTTCCATTCATAACACTTCCTGTGCATCGTCTGTCAACGAGAGTAACCGCCACAGTGATAGTAGTTTTTCTGAAGATGGACTTAGTGATGACAGCATTGATGTGGAAAATCAAGCTGAACAAGTGACGGGATTTAACCAGGATGAGAATGAAACTGAGGAAAAGCTGCTTTCCCCTATAAATAAGAACGAAACTCTTGCTAGTGGTTGTAAACCTTATTTTGATGACACAAAAAAAGAACACTCAGACGACGACAGCGATGAAGGAGAAGGTCGATGGGCACGACAGAATCTTCTTCCTGCTGATTCCACCTATGAAGTTGATCGAGAGCGAAGTAATAACTCTGACTGTTTCCGAAAGGCAAGCGATGAGAAAACTATTACTTCTCAAGGGAAGCAAGGACAGTTAAAAACCTATGGTGACAGGGAAACCAAGGGAACTTCATATTGTGAGCTTCAGAATGAATTCTCTGCTGACTCTTCAATGATCAAGTCGCGCCAGAAGAACACTGATAGGTTTCCTCCAGAATTTCAACCAGGAGCTGAGGAGTCTTCTAGGAGTCTAAATTCTAATAAAATCATTGATGTTCATATAAGGGTAGTCTCCAGAAATGGACGTACATGCGTGGGAACGCTTGACCGGTCTAACAACGATATTACTGGTGATGAATACCTGAATAGCGATAGCGATGCCTTAGATTCGAACAGGATACCTTCGGCGGATATTTTTAAAGTACTTGACTCTCTGAATCTAAGCACTTCTGCAATGAAGCCTCGGACTCCTAGAGAGGAGAGACCAAAGGCAAAAAGGGTGCAGTCTGCTGGTTATACGAGACAGACGGCTGCTGCTCTCAGTGATAAAACGCCTTTGGTAAAAGGCAGCAAAGAGCCAAGACCACCCTCAGGTAAACGAATGGGAAATAGAAAAAAGAAAGATAAAACTTTATGTGAGGTAGAAAATTCGAACACTGTTACTTCCATGACAACTGGAAGAGCTAATGACTTGACAAAGCATGCAAGGGAGAAGTTACCGGGTTATTTCACTGAGCAGTACAGAAAAATATTGGACGAGCAGAATCGAGATAGGACTAGTGTTTGTGCCTTGAAGAAGGAATGTTCATCGTCCAGCATCGTGGCTGTGGCAGCGAAAGAAATGACGAGTAAAGGAAGCGATAGTGATAATGTAAGCGATATTGCATCAGCTATTAAACTGGGAAAAGAACATGTAGAAATGTCAAGTGGCAAGTCTTCCATAGAAAAGACTCTATCTTTTTGCGAGAAGCCGGATAAAGGCTCGAACGGTGAAAAGTCTCCTCGAAGTTCCCAAACAAGTGTGTTTGTGACTATGGACGATAAAAGTGAATATAGAGGTGTTAACACTTTGGAAGATAGCAGTTCTGGCGTGGAAACGATGTCGTGTGTGACAGGTTCATCTGTTTATGGTGATACTATCGATAAAAGTAATTATAGCACTGAATTGGGATGGAGTTCAAGTAATGAGAACTTATATCCTGTGACTGATGGACAACCGTATGACGAAGTTGATGAGTGTACTGATAGTATCATTGATGACGATGATGATGGCGTTGATGCTGGTTTTGTTGAAGACTTTGGCAATGATTCCACAGAATTGGAAGTGGTTGCTAAAACGATGACTTTGTCCGAGTCAAGGTTCGTATATTTTCCAAAGCATTTTGTGCCCACTGAAATACAAAATAGAAGCTCTCGTAAAAGAAGGCTGTTCGAATAAAAGTGTCGTGAAACAAAAGCAAATTACAACTACTCCTGCAAATCAAGCATCTCATTCTAAGGATACTTTTCACAATTCTCCTCACATGTCTACGTAGTACTTTTTTATGGGGAGAATTTAGATGCTGGACACTCTTAGGAGTGAGAACTACACTACACTGTATCTTATGTTAGTCATCAAGTATATCGCATACTCCATTTACCACTTTCTTCATATTGCTTTGCTTTTAAAATAGTGACCGAACCTTTTCTTTTTCAAACATTTTGTGTCAGATATGATGCGAAGAAGAAGCCCATTGCACCGATTCCACCCCTTTGCTTCAGTATTAACGCTAAAGCCCCAGAGGGGCAGTTGTATTACTTCGCCTATGGACCAGAAATGAATCCCAACAGGTGAGCAAAGAAGTCTGTGCAGTTCACTGGGACTAAAAAAAAACCATATCAGTGGAATCCTAATTTTTTCCTGAATGGCTTAGTTTCCATAAATTTATGATAGCTTATTGGTAGTAGATCCAGAGTACTTATTGAAAGCTCATACGTTACACTGCTTTCAAATGCAATTGGGATTTGTTCATTCCTGCCCAAGTGACTGTAAAATAAAAAATAGAATCGAATAGTGATGTGCCGATGTTCTTGTTTTAAAGACTCCTTCATGAACGTGGTGCTTTTCTTATTGATTTTTTAGGTCAAGACTTTGGGTACAGTTACGGCTGGCATGCTTCACCTCACCCCCTTCCCCCCCCCCCCTCCTAAACCCTTCCCACCCACTTTCCTCATTGCATCTTTTGTTTAATGCTCCCTTTTGCTGAATTTACCCGTAAGAAACTCTTAACGAGAGCTGCATGGAGTCATAGAAATATTTAATGAGTAGTATAGTGCTTTTTGGCAAAGTAAATACCACTTCCTTAAGTACAAAAGACCGTTTTCTACAGAAAAGTAGTGTACTTGCTTAGTTTTTTTTCTTTCATAGGATGGCCATTTACTTACGTCGAGAGCCTAAGACGCGATTGTGGGGTATTTTGTTTGGATTCCAGATTCGATTTAACAAGAGGGGTAAGTTTTGAGACCGTAAAAACAAAGGATTAAATCGCCGAGGAAGACTCAAACCCATCATTTCAATTGTTATTTGTAGGTACATCTGACGAGGCTGGCGGATTCCCTAATATGGAATTCTCTCCAGGACACTCGGTTGAGGGATGTGTGTACGCGATAACAGACACAGAACTGAAGATGCTGGATAACTGCATGGGTTATCCTAAGGTCAGTCAAAGAGCCAGAGAAATTCCTGTTAAGTATTTTATTTTTACTGATCAAGTGTGACTCTGATGAATCGTAAGACTCCCGCTTTTACAATTTTTATGTCAATTTATTGTACATGAACGTGAAATATAGAGTTTTTCACCCACATAAACCAATACAAGGGCTTTTTTTTAATCCAACGGTACATAGCCTTGGTGCCCTAGTTCGTAGTTACCCTTTCAGTTTCCTTTATGGATTTATTATTATTATTATTATTATTATTATTATTATCATCATCATCATTATTATTATTATTATTATTATTATTATTATTATTATTATTATTATTATTATTGTTGTTGTTATCATCATCATCATCATCATTATTTGTAGCATTACACTCGAGTGGTTGTACCGGTTTGGATGCTGAACTGTGCCAGTCCTTCTGAACACGGTGTAGCTCAGTACTGTATACCAGCGGTTTCGTATATTGCTCAAGATGAGTGGATCGTTAATGGTAAGCTGTGGAATATTTTCATTTTCTACGTTGCGTATATTGTAACGGTAATGCCCCTCTCCCTTAGTCATTTTATGTGCCGTGTTAAATCATTTTTCCGAAGGTTCCTAACTTTTTGTTTTTCAAATAGTTTTTTAGATAATTTTTAATGTGGGTATCGTTTGTTGCCATTTGAATCGTTTACTACACGTCATTTGGGAATAAGTTCAAAGCGCTATCTTTCCTTGTTGGTGTACCTTTTCGCTCTTTGCAGTCTACCAGAAGCATACTGCAAGACCAAGCTGCTGTCAAATTTCTTTTTTTTTTTTTAAATTTGATCATTGAGGACTCATATTTTTCTAGATAATTTGGTTTTATCAACTGAGTTAATAATGCAAATTGGTCATCGTAGAGAGTCTCTAAGCTGGCGTTTCGAGCGTTAGCCATCATTCGCTGTTCATTAGCCCTTCATGACGAAGGGCTGACGTTGGAAATGTCAACTTAGAAACTATTTATATTTACGGTGGCCAATTCACATTATCTAATCAGATCATAAACCAAATTATCTTGTTATACTCCCCCACCTACGTAGCACCACAGTTTCTCCAGAAACTTACCTCTTTATTCATATTTTTCTGTTAAGAAAACGGATCCTACGAGAATGAAAGATGGGAATTAATGGAAGTCTACGAAAGCGAAAGATACCGATGCACGCACTACTCAAAACTACTAACGTAAAGAGTACTTAACTTTTTGCGACAGTTGCATATTTGCCATCTACATGTAAAGATAGATTATTTTGCAAAGAAGTCTTTTTATTTTGTTACATTGTAGATTCATCACAAAAGTTGGAGTGTCGCTACAGCGTGAGCCAATGTTTGAAAGCCTCAGACATACTAACACCTAACTACGTCAAATTCTTGACCGACCAAGCAACCACCTAGCACAAGATGTGGGCCTAGAATGGAGTATTGAATATCTGACCTCTTTAAACTTTAGTACGATCTTCTATAAGCAGTCAGGCGTATTGATCCATACTCGTATTTCTGTCTAGTACAATACCTCCAAACATCACGCACATGCATAACTGCCGTCACAACAAAGGTGGGGTGGGGGGGGGGGGTTCACTTCATCATTCTGTCTTTGTTTTAGAGACTCGCTGAAACTTCCAAATTCTCTTCAAAAGAGCTACGTAACGTTAATGCTATTCTGAGTTCTTGCGATATGCAAAATGACCTAAAAATTACCATTAAGTCCTCGTCAGTCAGTTTATATCTAGCAGATATCAGTTAACCTTTTCACGAATTAAGAAAGAATGTAATCTTAACGAAAATACTTTTTACCTGCAGTCGATTAACAATCACGGCTTCTAGAATTTTAAATTGTTTTCTAGTTGAGAATATGTAAATTTGTAGGAAAGGAGTGTCAATTATTGTTTTTACTTGTTTTTGACCTTCTAGAGAAATGTTTTCGTTAATCTCTGTCTGTATCAACTACGGACTCTACCCAGTTAGGTCCAAAGTTGGTGAAAATATTCTTGATGTCAGGTTTCGCATGATAACAGGGGTCCCAATCTCAGCAACCAGACAGGTGTTTTCCTGTGGAGGTTGCTAGGCTTATTGCCCTGCAACAGCTCAGGCAGTAAGTCAAGTCCCTTGGGTGGAGTGTGGTTGAGTTAAAAGAAGGCGGGAGGGGGGGACACTTATCCATTGACTATGTTTTCCAAAAAAGTATGTGAAAAAAGGGTTGAAAAGCACCAAAGAAGAAAGGCTCCAGTTGTCTCTACAGTCTTCTCAATTCTACGTTTCTCCCCTGTGTCTTCTAATCAATCAAGTTCTACTACGGCTAACTTCTAGTGATACCTCCTGGCTGACTACCCTGAGTACACGCATTTGAATACTTGTTAGGGAGGTATGAGTGCACATACGAGCCGACTGGCCTGGGAACAGAACCTCTCATTTTAGAAAACTGTCCTAAAATACGTCATGACAATCAAAAAAATGAATAACAAGATACTTAATGCTTCTGAGTAAACGTTCAATCTTCAAATGATAGAGGGTCAAAAGGTACAGGAACTTTATTGAAGGTCCAAAGCATGGACAGTAGGCAAATCTAAACATGGCCACTATGAGAAGTGTGTGTTTAAGAATTAAGCCTTATTGTGGCTAAGGACAACTCAAAACTTTGTCCGCGGGCTTGCAGGGCCTTGAGTCGCAAGGACTGCATAGGGATTTCAAATCAAATGAACGTAAAGAAACATTATTGATAATTAAAAACCTCGATACGCGAACAGAACAATCAAAGTAAGGAAACTCCATGTCAAGGCTAAACTCTAAACAACCTGGAACTTCAACGAATCGAAACACATCTTAACAACAGAAAATGGACCGATGAGCAAGGTGGTCAGTAAACTGTAGTGATTTTTTATTTCCTTTATTATGCATTCATAAGTCGAGGTTGAAAACTCGGCCCAATAAATAATTTGTTACAATTAATAACTTACACCGCAGTGAGTTGCATGCGTCAAAAAAATTAAACCTTTGCATTAAATAAGTACAGTTTTCAAAGTAGACTTTGAGAAAGTAATAATTATATTTCAACAAGAATAAATGATTTGTTTTAAATAGATCACTAGGATTTAACTTGACCGCTATCAGTCCATGGTGTCATTTAAGACAACTTCCTATTGGCTTCAAACTTGTGCTGAGATAAAGTCTTTGTCTGCCAGTATCATGGCCAGCCCTCTCATGTAACTTTTGAGCTGCGCTATTTCGTGACTGAGGTCCTGGTAACGAGTCTGGCTACCAATCGTTCCCTTACTAACGAACTGAGGGGGGAATGGTGACGTACCATTGAGGTAGAGCTCCTATCAGAGTAACAGAAAAACAACGTTTAGCTGCAGTTATAAGCGGCACGTATTAAAACGGCTGACAATTGGAGAATTCATAACAAAGGTGATCGACAAAGTGTCGGGCTAGCGCTCTCCTAATTGGTTCAAGATCTTCGACAATTACGAAGAAATATTTGGAACGAGCTGCATTTTGTACATTAGAATCCTCTTTTGATGGAATTATCAATTGAAAAAAACGAAACAAAACAGCTCTACTTACCGTCAATTGCATGCTGATGACAAGCCCCCCCATGAGGTTGATACCGTCGTTTACACACAAATTAAATTTCTGGTCTGAATTTGAGCTTGGAATTTGACCAAAAAGAAGATAGTATATTTCTAAGTGTTCCAAGTCGAATGAAAGTCTCTGAAGTACCTGTTAAGAAGGAAGAGAACATTATGTTGTGGGTGAGCGATTAGAACTTGCCTAAACATTTCCCAAGTAACTTTGTGACATTGACAAAACATCATTGGGAGAACTGCATCACTACTAGTCAAGCTGTTTCCCCTGTTCATGTTGAAGGAATTGTAAGGAACCGATAAAAAACATTGCCTATTTTAATAGTCTGTTGGGCGAATAAGGAGAATAAAAGAAGATTTGAGAGCCAACTTTCCCATTACATAAACAGCACACGTTTATGATTTTTCTTACGAGGCGTTTCACCTACTTAATCTTGGCATTTCACCCAACTTGACCGCGCTCTAGGATGATCGAGACTCTTATGAGAGGCACAATATAGGGCTGAGGTACTATTTGGAGGGGATATTTGGGAAATTTGGAAGCACAGTTGTTAGCTAAATAGAGAGTCCATCAAGCTTCGCTGAAAGAGAAGAGATGCAAGGAAAATGATTCTGTAACTACCGTAACTCCCATAGAAGAGATGATGGAGTGTGCCATTGAGCTGTTGAAATTGATACTGCCCTGAGGAAAATGAGACAGAAAAAAAGGAAATTAATTTATGAAGAAAAGGCCATCTAGAATTAAAGATGAATTTGTGTCAATCTGTGTGTTTAAACAAAAGAAAAAAAAAAGAAATAGTCATAAGAAAATATTCCTTCCTCTGCAATAAAATTTGAAAACGAAACAAAATAGATTTAATCATATATTTAAAATTAAAATATAGTTTGATGCTTGGCTGTTAATCACTTTTACGTCCTCTCTGATAAGCTGCCACAAATTGCGACAATTGCATATTATAAAATCTTTGAGATTTGCATTAAATCTCACACAGTCTTCATAACTTACAAATTTTTCCTGAGTTGTGTTGAGGTGTTTTGTGACGTTCTTACACCAGTCGTCTAAGACTTTATGGGATGCAGGGATTCCAATTTGCACTGCCCCTACCACTGCAGGGCCGGACAGGGACCTCCTGGTTCGTGGAGTGGAAGATTTAACGCACGATAACATGAATATCGTGGTTAAAACCAAGAGAACTGATAGTTTGTAACCAAGTTGACCTGCAATTAATTAATCAGTCAATTTATTAGTTGAACCCTCGACTTGTCATTGAATCAGTCGATCAGCCAGGTTTTTGGTTACTCAATTAGCCGGTCAATCTGTCAGTCATTCAGTCGGTCATTAAGTCAGCCATTTAGTCAGTCAGTCAGTCATTCGGTTTATCTTTCAGTCACTTAGTCAGCCAGTTAGTCAGTCAGAAAGTAAGTCAGACAGTAAGTCAGACAGTAAGTAAGCCAGTTAGTCGGCAAGTTATTCAGTCAGTCAGTTATTAAGTTCATCAGCAAATCAATCAGTCAAACAGTCAGTGAATCGTTCAGTCAGTCAGCCAGTCAGTCAATAAGTTAATCAGGCGATGAACCAATTAGTCGGTCAGTTAATAAAAAAGTCAGCCAGTCAGTTTATCTGTCTTTCAGTCGGTCAGTCAGTCAGTCAGTCAGCCAGTCAGTAAGTAAGTCCATCAGACAGTCAGTCATTCAATCGATTACTCAACTTATTTATTTAATCAATCGGTAAGTCCATCAGTCAGCAAAAACCCTTTCCAAAGTACGGTAAATGTCAAACCATAAAGAGTTGACAAATAAAGGTCGTCACAAGCAAAACCAATTTCGTACTTAAATTGTCCCATCATCTGCCTCATAGTTAAACGTAAGGACAAATACCCAACGCATAACTGTAGAAACACGTAGTGAGTGGTCCGTCTCTTATAATAAAAGTGTGATGGTAATTAAGGTTATTTTCACAGGATAACGCGTAAAATAAAGATCGAAGGCAAGTCACTATGAGAACCCTTAAAATTTCTCACTACTTGGGTAGCTGTAATAGTTTTATGTTGCATACCTGGCATACTTCAATAAAGTAAGTCTGGATTTCTCCGTTCGTCAAGTATTCAAATATGGTAGAAAATTTCAGAGATATCGATCGCAGTAGTGAAGTTACGCTTTTAATCCGATGGGCCTTTTTTATATGACTTTTTGTTTAATCAAAGGTTAAATCATCTCCTCAGATTTAGGCGATGAATTAGAAAGAGCGAAGCGTTCAAACAAGAAGCAATATTCATTAATATCACACAATTCTTTTGTTGTCAATTCTTTCTCAGGGGGAGTTTGGTTTTAATATTTGCTAAGGAAAAAACCGGAAAGATTTCTGTTCCTTGTTTATTAATAGTAAACCTAGCCTTCACTAAATGGGAATTGAGACATCAGTTCATTTAGTTCAGTTCAATTAGTTCTGGAAATGATATATTTCTCAGTTTCAAAAAGGTTGAAAAGCGTATCCTCAGGGTTTATTTATTCTATGTTTTGACCACTACTTTATTTAAATTAAAGCAAACAAGCTCTCCTCCATCACGTATTTACTTGATCGTACACATCTGTATGTAAAAATGACTCTCACTCTCGGAGGGTAGAAAGACCCAAACGGAAACGAAGTAAATCCTATTTTTTGCGGTAAACTTCCTTTTCCGAGAGAGCAAGCTACGTGAAAACATCCGCACTTGATTGCGACATCATCGACCGTGCACGGAATCAGCGAAACAATTTTCGTCTGTCTCCTCATTCTTCCCGTCCCATCTCTGAAAGGAAATTACGTCACTGTTTTAACGCTCTAGAAATTCTGCTTAGTTGCTTTTATGAAATCGTCTTTGAATCCTCTACAAATACATCGTAATTATTCTTGTTGTCTTCTTGTTTGTTTATAAACTATTAGCTTTATGTTCTATATTATGAAGAAATTGTTTGACAATTTCTCCCTAATGAAAGACGATTTTTGACTTAACAATGAAGCAAACTTATAGTGATGATGTTCTACAATTCTGTGTCTCTATTGAGGATTATTAGAGAATGAAATTAGCCTCTACGCCTTTTTTTAGAATGAAATGAAAAGGTTCTTCTCAAATTTATCTCGAAATCTTTAGCTAAATTAAAAACTTAAGAGGAAAAAGAAAAACTTTGTCAAATGTAGTGGTCATCGATGGGACAAACGTTAACAGCTGCTGTCTTGAGTCGAGAAGGGAATGTCTTAATACTAAAGATAGAAACATTGCTGGGTCATACCTTTGATTACAATAGTAGTGAGCTGATAATCAGCTCACGTAAGCGAATATATAATGACGCAGAGTAATGGCCATTTTCATCGAGAAAAAATAAAGGAAAAGAACACTTCTGAAACATTCATTTTGGGACTAGCGGAACAATTCATCCCGCCGCTGGAGGATTTCGTTTCGTGGAAATCAATCCAGTTTTGCTCCAACTAAGTCTGTACTGATGCAAATCAATCCATATATTGAGCATGTAGAATTAAAGAAAGAAAATTACATTTTACACTTGAAGTTGAGCAATCTCTTACGTCACGGAGAGGAAATATATCGCAATGTTTTCCATGACTAAGTTGTGAGTAAAAATAATCCCCTAGAAATTAAATCGATCTTAGATGTTTTTCCACGGACAAATCATCGGGAAAATTTTAATCCTTTGAAATTCATGCAATTGTTGATACGTCAAAACAATTGCTTTCGTTACTCATTGGATTTCTCACTTTTTGTGAAAAGTGTGGAGCTTAACAATGTTTGACAAATTCGCGGAAGGACACCATAGCGTTTGAAATGCCTCTATTGATAAAAAGTGACTATAGATTATTTCTTAGAACTTATTTGTCCTTAAAAAAAACTCGACTGATCTAGGAAAGCCACAATACTTGGAGAGAAAAAGTTTCGTTCTGAATTAGTAGGTTTTGTCTTGTTCGTATCGGCTGGGCTAACAAAATCAACAGCGAAAATCGTTAAATGCCTTCCGTTTTCCGTTTGTTTTATCAGATTCTCACAACGAGCGAGATAACACAGAGCACTTATCCTTAACAAATTTCAACAAAGCCGGGAAACGCTCGAACTCATTTAAAAAGCGGACGTAGTGTCGTCGACACTAGTTAAGTTATCTGATGGTAACATGATATGTAGGTATCATCGGAAAAAAGCACACACGGACTGTTAGAAAAATGAGAATTTGAAATAACTGGGTAGAGTAGATAGGAACAAAGTGAGCAATTTTGGCCACGTCACGTTCAAAACTAGTTCACGAGATGTTGGAAAAGAAGTAAGGAAGTCACTGACGAAATGAAAATCGCACGCGTGATCATGTTTTAAACGCACTCTGGCCAGCAAGTGGAATCAGGAATTTTGAATATCGCTCGAAATGTAATGTGAATGAAATAAGATTTCTTTAAAACTAGAGGTGGAATTATTTCTATGGAATGACGTCCATAACTAAGACGGAATTTCCTTGTAAATCTGTAGTGTCACGGCGGTTTCATAGTTAATGTTCTCAATGCAAGAACTTTTCGCTGAAAACTGACCATGTCGTGAAAACGCGGATGCGAAGTAAAATTCTCATTAACCGCAATATAACGAACAACAAGCGTTTAAAAAAGTGTGTCAGAATTTCTTGAAATTGGCGTATAAGCTATCTCGATAACTCTTTTGCCTCTGTTACATTGCGGATGAAACGGAAGTAATCTTTGTTGTCACTTTGCCACTACATTTCTTAGAATCTAAATTAAGTATATGACAACTATAGTGAACTGCAAAAAATTAACTAGAGCCTTCTACAAGCGCGAAATGATTCATGAAAGGCTAGACCATGGCTTGTTTCAAATCCAAAACATTGCTTAAACTAAAGTTAATAAAACCTATGGTCTAATATTAAATTCCACTTTCGTTTACTTATTAGTAGGGAGTGTCAAATTACATAGCGATGTTCGTATCATATTTCTTGCTGACTTTACTTATTGGATGGGAAGTTACCGGGTTTTTTAACGTTCACTCATAAAACAAATCATTATCACACGGAACCTTGATGGAATATTTGAGAAAAATTTAGATTATCATCAATCAGAAAAAATAATGGTAGGAAGCGTTTAATTTGAATAGGGAAAATGCATAAATTATCGTTGTCGAGTCGACATTAACAATCTTGAAGCATAATTCCAATAGATGTTGGTTTCGAAAACATCTTATTAATAAGAATGGCAAAATAAGGGGCAATATGAAATTAAATTCTGTTTCATGATTGTCATTTTGATCGTTGAAAACCTAGAAAATAAGGAAGAAAGGATCAGTTAATTCGTAATAAAAAAAGGAAGTGAAGTGAAAATTCAAATGATATATATATTTAGACGAGTCCCGCATATTCGCAGATTTATTTTTTGCCTGTTACAGGGATTATGGTAAAATCATTGTTATTCGTTTCCCCTTGGCATAATCACGGCACTATTTAACTAGCGTGGTCAGGGAGTTTTTCACAGTCGTTCAGGTGAACACATTCATTACAGCATCAGTTGGAAGAACAAGAATTTCTAGTTTTAACATGAAGTCGTCAAAGTTAGGTAAGTAGATAAATGAGTGAGTTTTAGGTTTAGAATGATCTGGTTTTTAAACACTTTAAAAGAGCTTTTTCACCGCTATTACTACTACTAAGGCACTTTTTACAAACACAAAAATTAAAGGCTATTAAAATTTCATTTAAATTCATTTTGTATTTGTTTGGGTGAGAACAAAAAAATGAAATGAAAACATAAGTTTCTGAAACTAAAAAGTTTCACAGCAATATTTGAGCAATTACTTTTTTAGTTCACAAATTTTAGCTTACACCTCAAAAGGCAGCTGAAACGTCGTTATCTTTGAAAATATATATATATTTTTGTTCGTATTCCTTTGTCATGACTTTCGATCTTTCTTTATTCCGGAAGGTTTCTCTGGACTTTTCTTGGGTCTTTTGGGCGCCATGTTCATTGGTAATTCAATGGCGGCCCCAGCAAGCGGGAGACAAGCGCGTATTGATTGGATGAAAGGTTGGATATTTGGCCAGTCCCGAAGTCTCCAGAATATGACGGTGACATTGCAGGAAGAATTTGTAAGTGACCGTGTGAGAGGTTAATTTTTTGTTGTTTGAATTTTAATTACTTTTATCGATCTTGATTCGGAATATATAGCAACATATGATGATCCGGGAGACATAAATTCGATAAAGGTCGGTTATCATCTAAAAAAAAGAGAAAAAGGAAGATCCGGGAGACACGAATTCGATAAAGGTCGGTTATCATCTAAAAAAAAGAGAAAAAGGAAGATCCGGGAGACATAAATTCGATAAAGGTCGGTTATCATCTAAAAAAAAGAGAAAAAGGAACTAGGAAAAAGCTAGCCAAAATGTACCCAAAGTATAACTTTTTGCGCGGACTTAGCTATCAGTTGAGGCAGACCGGATCAAGTCAAGAAGCAACTTCGGATCATATCATAACTGCAAACGTGGCTAATTGATGAGACCGTGTATATTTGCTAATGAAGTAATTCTGCCCTTGATGGAGCTGAAGTAATATTTCATAAAAGGAAGTAACTGCGGTGTGAAAGCTCCTTCGACACCGAAGAGCGCAGCGCTTAACAACCAGACGGGCTAAGTTATAATTGAATGAGCCTTTTTCAACTCTTTGACCATCAATTTCAGAGGTGGATATTCTGTTACAGGATAAAAATATCTTTTGACTGATTTCGCCCGAAACTTCTCTCCAAGAATTTCTCGTGTGTCAAATGCAGGATATAATGGCTAGATCGCGCATGACATAAGGAGCAACAAGCAAACGACGATTTTAAACTTCGATTTTGCTCACACACACTATAAACCTGAAGTGAAAAAAGGAAGAGAGAAACAGGAATAACAAAAATGGAAAATATGCGGATCACAGAATAAGTTCATAGCTTCACTTTTCATGAACAAACGGCTGACAGCAGATAGAGGAAAGTTCAGTGACTTGCGCTTGTCGTGGATTTCACTTTTAAACCCTCTCATTTCATGTCATCTACTTGATAGTAAATCGTAGTACTCATTCCTCGTATCTAATTTACCTTGCACAGGCGTCGGTCCGTACGGGTAGCAAAGACAACGATGAGTATTACCTCAGAATTCCATGCTTACCACGACCTTCATTTGATCAGGATGGTGTTTCCGTGAGTCACCGATTAAATCATTAATTGATCCTTAAATATAAATCATATCCGTTTGCGGTATCATGGTAAAAGTAACAGATCACAAAGTGAAACCTCACTTACCTTGAAAGTTTAAGACGTTGCTAGTGTTAAGATATTGGCCAAGTTACTAAATATCATGTTTGTTTACCTTGAGATGTCACGGTTCTAGGAATGCTAAGAGAGTACGAATTCAAAATAAGTTAGATTTTAAACGGTGAGCTTTGCGTTTTCCCATTCATTTAGCCTAAAATTTTTTGGTCTTTCACACATCTTAGCAGTCCTGGGTCTCTTACATGCTAAAAATTCCACCTGTCCTACTCGTCACCAGCAACTTTTGCATTTCAATCTACCAAAGCCTCTGCGTACGTGAAAATGCAAATTTTTTTACTCAAGTTTGAAATTGAAACAAACAGAGGGCCAGACACAAAAGATTTCTCGGAATCACCGGAACTCTGAAGGAAAACGCGTCTTAGAGTTAGTCAAGTGAGTGATTCAAAACGCTCAATATCTTCATCATCTTTCAATTACAGGAAACAGCTCTCTTGGAAACAGATGTAAAACAGTTGTATATCTTCAAAACTTTTCTTTCCATTATGAAAAATCAAGAAGCCCAGATCCAAAACAGTCCTTTTAAGGGAAGACTGCAAGATGTAGAGAACGGAGTCAACCTCCTCATCTCACAAATGAATGAACTGGTGAGTGGGGAAAATAATTAAAAACGATATGAAAGAACATGTTTCTTATAGTTGCGTAAAGAAAAAAATCTGAACTTCCATTTTTTTCGTTCAACGTTACGTCACACTGTGATTGCACGTTTGAATTAACGAGAGTCTGCGATAGACAGTGACATTGGCATTTGATTTGACAGTGACACACGATCAGTGCAGTTGAGATCAAGAGATAGCCGATGAATATTACATTGATACACGAGCTCGAACTACACGGAAAACGGCCATAGCTCGAAATAACGAAATTACGGTAAAATTTGGGATAAAATTCAATGACAGAACATTGACGTAGGTGTAGGGAGGGCGTCAGCCTCAAAATGACGGCAAGTAGCGAGGTATCGGGGCCCCGAGATAAAAAAACACTCCCTTGAATATTTTATTAAAGGAATAGTATACAATATATGTATGCTTTGGACAAAAGTGGATAGTTTCGCTTTCTCAAGAGTCTCAATATTTCCTATAAATATTCAAGGGAAGCATTTAGCCTCAAGACAAAAGAAAAACTAACTTTACCCTAAAGGAACACAATCCTTAATTGTTTTGATTTACATTTCGAGAACGGGGAGATTCTAAAGACAAAAAACAAAGGAGCGTCTTTCAACACAATGCTTCTTGAGAGAGAGTCTAGCCAAACAGACAAAGATAAACTAACTTTCCCCAAAGGAACAGACTATTTTAAAAGTGTTTGTAATAAGTCCTGAGAATTGAGATATATTTAAACCAGCAAACAAAAGAGCATTTTTTAATGCAAAAACAAATTTTTTAATTCAGTTAGAACTTAGGAAACTACGACTCCGCAACAAAATGTGTTAAACGAAGGGTTTTTTTCCTTTTCTTTATTTAGCAACGGCAACTTGGGAGTAAAGCGACTGGCCCAGGAAGCTCTCCCCAGCCCACCTGCGCGCCACCTTCAACACAGAAGGAACAGGACAAATGGAAACTCGCAATAATCAAGGAATTCAGCTTATGGCTAATCCCAATTTTGGGTGAATTTCATCAGGCAAACACCTTCGCTTGATTCATCTGATCCAAGAGTTAGCTTGTTCGTACATTGTATCAATGAACCATATAATGTAGAGCTCAGTGCTCGTTGCTTTAGATCCATCTCGTGTTTGTATTAAATAGGATGACCTTGTCATCATTGGGCTATATCTAGTTGCACCTTGCTAGGAAGCCTTTTTATCTTCCATTTATTATTAAATATTGGTACAGTAAAAAACCATCACTTTTGTATGGACTAAAATAAATTTAGAGAGTATTTTTTCAACTTGACTTAAGAGTCATTAGAGAGCAAATTTTATTAAATTTCATTCAATTCTACATTTTTTGAGCTCTAACGATTGTACTTCGTATTTCTAGTTTTGATAATTTGAATAAATTTGAATTTTTGTAACACTTATGACTGTATCGTTGATTGATCGAAAACTGAGTATTTAATTAAATTGAAACTAAAGTAAGATCTACACCTTCCCAATATGAGACGGCAGGTAAAAGAGCAAATTGAACTGACCTCTTTACATTCTTTAATTCGGGAGTCCTGTCTGTTTCCCGGTCTGTCATCTGACACCAGCTGCTTGCGTCATTAAACTGTTCCGTATTAGCTGAGACACCGCCTCACACGATTTAAGGCAAAACTTACCGTTGTACTTGTTCCGTCACGCTGTCGAAACCTAGCTTAATTTCTTTCAGTTCAGTTACAGTGTATCGATCTTTTCTCTTCTCACACATACTCGTTCCTTTCTGTCTAATGTCGCCTTCTCACTGTCTGTCTATTTTAGCGGACGATAATTTCAATCCAACAAGGCCTCCTTGTACATTAAGGCAGTTTCCTTATAGCTTTAACTTTGACTCCAAATTGTTTACCTTGCGCAGAATCTTACACTTATTTTGAGCTCCAAATCCAAACAACAATTTAAAAGAAAACCAATTAAATTGGTGGAAACGAATCGGGCGATATCACTGTGACATCCACGAGATTGCCCTTCGTTTACTGTTTTTCTCTACTAAATTGGAATTCGAACTGTGCGTTTTTGTGAAAGGCGGACAACAGGAGAACCTCGCGATGATGACCCGCTGAAGCATCACAGAGAATCAACAAGGATTTCAACCCACAAGAGAAGCCCCACAGTGAGTGGATAATTTGATTAAAAGCATCTTATGAGACTCTTGAAGTAATAAGATAAAAATAAAAAGAAAATGTAATTCTTTGAAGTCTTCTGCTGTTTTGCCTCTTTATTTTGCTTTTCCATTTTTTTGAATTTGGTTTATTCACGTTTTTTTTAAAGTTTAAACCACGATGTTGGTCATGTTGCGACGTAATTAAGTTCGTTTATTTTGCAAAGTGGTCAGTGTTGAAACTCTTAGGACCAATACTGAAGGGTATCATTGAATGATTGATCAATTGTTCTCTGCCATCTTCAATGAAGGCCATGAAATCATCAATCTATTTTTGTCAATGCTGAAACAATGGGAAACGCGCAATTTTCCTGAGTTAAAAATCTATGTCCGTTTATGAGATAAAATGAGGATCTCTAACATGTCATGAATAAGAGTTGTGACTGTGCCAGTTATTTGCATTTGAGTACCTTACTTATCGAATCAATCGATAAGGCTCTGTTGCACTATGCTTTGCTCTGAAATGGACGTCCACAGCTATTGCAATATACTTTCATCATTATAACGCCATGTTTTGGTTTAATTTAAGTCTTTCTATTGCAAACTCATTGTATATTTGTGTTAGTTTACTGCGTACCTGGTAGAAAACCGATGGATATAAATAAATAAGTCTTTGCAGACGACAAATGAATTTTAATGAAGAAATTAAGTGAAGTGTTTACAAATGTGCGTTTCTAACTATGGCTATAATCTCATTTTCACGTCTCATGAATAAAATACAAAACACCATTGCGATCAGCTTTTTTCAATGTTATTTGTTACTCACCAGCCGTAATAGATTCTTGCAGAACCAGAAACCAAGAACCAACCCATTTAGCCGGTAGATATGTCCATCAATGTATCTAAAAATGTATTTACAAGTGGGTTGTTTGAAGCAAGTAAATAGCTAATTTCACCAGAATTAGTAATAGGCCCTCTGTCACTAGTCACAAAAATCAATATCATTCTGAGAAAACAATTGGTTAACCGGATAAACCTTGTGTAAATAACCGGCCACTAGTTATTCTACACAATGAGCCGAGTGCCACAGTTGACTTCACTTTCTCTTTAACAAATTTGCATTTGCAGTCAAGCTTTGTTCATTGTTACTTTTCGTCACGTCACCTTGTTCTTGAAGATTGCTTTCTCAGATAATTGTAAACGATTTTCACAGCTCAATTGTTATAAAGATAGGGCAAAAAGAAGGGCGATCTTTTAAACACTCTCATTCAACTTGGCTTATTTCACTCGTTTTACAAAATAATCAGATTGTCGATGCATTCATTGGGGGCACTAATCAAAAACATGTGTCATCTGAATCGTTGCTTGTTTTAGATACTTTGGTAAACTTCCAGACAGGACCTTAAGCTCATCTCTGTGTGACGTTCAGGACATGGCGCAATGCGAAATTAATCAGAATTTTTCGAATCAGGAAGGACGTGAATATGCAGGGCATCAGCGTTACCTTTCGCCGAATCTACTACAGTCATGCTCTATTTGTCAGACGCATTTGCTAATTTTAGAACACTGCTGTTACAATGTTTACAGTGTCTAACCAGAATGCAAATTTTTTGAACAGCCTAATAATAGCTCTCTTATTAGAGACCTGCTAGATACTTGTGTTTATGTCTACTACCGATTAACATATCAGGCCTACGCTACCATGGCCAGTGTGTACCAGTTTTCACTGGTCTTAACCTCTTGTCCGGAAGTCTTTGTGAAGTATTATTTTTTACAAATGATACCCGTAAAATTAGTGGCAATTTTCATTCAGCCTTTGCGGTTTATGGGAAATTCAAGTATGTTAAGATAGATTAGCATTCATTTCCGGTTAACTAAAAAACCCCTTTTGAAGTTCACAACCTAAACATATCGTAAATTTTAAACTTCTTAATTCAATAAGTTTTATTCCGAAATAAATTTTTTAACTTTGTGTAAAGCCTGCAGTTACTTATATGCGTAACTCTAGAGTGATCAAGAGGCAGTTTTAGGAAGGAAGACGATGGGACCACATCATACTGGATGAACTCGAGTTGAAAAGTCCCAGTAATCAAGAGCTCCGGAAGGTACCGATTTGCTTAGGAGGAAAATACCCATTTTGAAATTTAGAAACATGACATTCAAAAAGGATTTCCTCTTGTTATATGTTGTTCCATAAAAACAGCCGCACAACATGGGGTTTTCTCACTTCAGAGTAAAACTACCAATCTGCGTTTTCACTGTAATTTGATCCTTGCGATTATTGACTGGTACATCGAATTTCGCTGAAGAAAACTGCTTCGTCGTTGACATGGGTGCAACAAGTAAGTTTCCCTGCAGTTTACCCTATCTTAATTTATATTTTACAGTCAAACTATCCCTAACTGTTTGAAGTTGTGAATTTAAGAGTATCGTATGTGAAATAACTGAAGTAATTTAAGCCGCTATGACTACATTTCCTTTTATGGGTAGCGCTTTACTGAGACGAGAAGTAAGTTTCATGGAAAAGGTTAAGTGAATTAGTTTAACTTACTGATACTGAAAGACGATCGAGCATATCAAGTTTCAATTTGAGGAGAATCAGTTCCTAACACGTATCTTTTTACAGGACATTTCGCTCCCGCGTTTACGTGATTTACGTAGATTTACCGGCCCAAACTGATCTTGTTATTTCATCCACATTTCCTTATTCTTTGAAGTACTTATAAGAAAGACATATCTGTGTTTTTTTCTTGGTTATTGTTTACAGAATTTCTCATATTCTTCTTTAATTTTCAGGCGTTTCATTCCTTTTAATTTTGTTGGTTGGAGTTACTCGTTATTCTGTTGGTGCTCCACTTGGGAAAGAAGTACTACGTGACCGAATCAAAGAGTTCTTCAGGCGGATGGCCTATCTCTGTGAATATCAACAACCAAAGCTGAATGACTTGGCATACGAAACAAAAAGAGCTTTTGTAAGTAAAGAGAAATAAATGTTTTAGTTTTTTTTTTATTTTTTAGGACGAGTTACGTATAGTACAATGATAAGGAGCGGGGTAGGATTTGCGAAGAAAAAAAACCTCTAAGGTAAATTTACCATGACTACAGAATTCCCTGGAAGGGTATTACCGAGTAGTGGCGTTCACTTCCTATTCAAAAGCTAGTTTGAATATTCTTAATAGCAGAAGCAATTGTCAATTAGCCAGTCAGAAATTAAATTCAGCTTTCACTTTCCAAACACACCAAAAAGACACGGCAATCAGTCGGCTGCGCCTCGTGAGTCCACAACAGTTTGACCGCACTGATGACGAATATAGTTGTTGGTAAGGAGTACAGACCACGCTAAACCACTGTCGATTTGTTAATTATAACATAATTTTCTATGAAGCTACCATAGTAAAAATTCTTAGGTACTGCATGGCTATTCATCCATCATAACATATACAGTTTCACTTCGGCCGAAAGTTCCCCTCGCGTTTAACCGGGAGGTTTCAAAAATTTTGAGATAGTTTTTCCGATCTATCCCGATTGAGATAGCCCTTTTGGAGCTCAAAATGAAAAAAAATTGCTGAATAATACTCTTTTCGAAAAACAATGAGTACGTAGCTCTTTCAAGCGACGAAGTTAGTTTTGGAGTTGACGATACTTCATTCCAAAACGCGATGCGAATTATGGCTGAAAACAAAAATTAATTTACTGACTTCAACTGAGGCTTTACGTCTTTGGGGACCCTTCATTGAAACGGTAAATATTACTTTGAAGTGTTTATATGTCCCAAAAATGTTGTTCAATATAAGAATTTGTTCTGAAATCGAAAAATTTTCAGAATTTTTAAAACAAAAAACAAAGCTACGCAATTTTTGGTCGTGAATTCTAGTAAACAACAATTCAAGTAGGGTTAATCTACTAGACAAGTCTCGTAAATGGATGAGATTTTTAAGTTTTTCGCTTCGTTTTTCGAACGGTTGTATTATTTTTAAGTGTTGATATTTCCTAAAAGTATTCTTCAGTAGAAGATTTTAATTTTAAACCGTACAATTTCAGAATTTTTTAAAAATTTCGACACAAACCTACGCAAATTTCTGGCCGTGAATTCTAGTAAACAACGATTCAAGCATCTACTACGTGATCGCGTGCATGCAAGAAACTCGTTCGTTTTTCACATCTGGACAGAAAATTTACAATTTTTTGTATTAAGATTTGGTCTCGAAATGTTTCACGACCGTTTTTGTCTTGTTGTTTATTCATAGTTTTCGGGTAGAATACGTTTACCTGGTAAACCCGGCACAGATGTAATAAACTCTTTTTTTTCAAGGACAACTTGCGTCTGCGTGCTTGTAAAAGAATTGGTTCTTGCTTTGGTTGTGCGTATATCGAGTTAGGATGCACTTGGGAAGTTTGGAGAGCACTAAAGAAGCTAGATTCTACAGTTAGGCAAAGCATTCTGAATTTTAAACCTCTGTATCTTTTTTATTTAGGCTAAAAAATACTTCGGCGATCCTCTGGAAGCAAGACCAGTAAACATTAAAGGAGTAGAGCTGCTGGATAACCGCAAAAGGCTCCCGGTAAGTTGATCTGAGCTGTTTCAGGGATGATATTGATGGAGAAATTAGATGCTGCGAACTATTGGGAATTTAAGGGTAAACAGAGCAGGAGAAATCACTCTGATCTTGGTGTCATGATGTTTTTATTCATTGTGGCAGCTGACATCTAATTTGAGTTTTCATATTCTTACTTTCAGTTGCACGTTTTTGCATCGAAGGCATACAAACAAGTGGCTATATTTCACTCAGTCTTCCAAGATATTACACAAAATTGGTCCCAGAGTCAACGAGAACACAAAGAAATTAAAGATAACCTTAGAGGCATTCAAGGACGCCTTCAACACCTGAAAAAACTCATGGAGAAAGTGGTAAGAGAGCAGTTTTTATTTTGTTTTATTTTATCAATTTAGTCATCCAGAAAATTCTCTATATTCTATACGCAAGCATATTTTATATATGTTAATGTGACAGCGATACACCTAAAAAAAGTCTGGTGTTTTCTTTTTCCTCTGAGTCTCCACTAGCATTAGTTCTTCCTCTAACGTCCCTTTCCTTTTTGTTTACAGGTCCGTTTGAGTTCCCAGTCCCCTGGAAATTCTTCTCTGCCTCAAGTTCCACAGCCAAACAAAAAAATCTGGAGCGATTCTATTCATCGACAGAAAGCCTGGATATTAGGAGTATTGGGAGAGTTCAAACTTAGTCTCATTTACCTGCGGCCCGCCATAAGAAAGCGCGCGTGTAAAACATGCAAAGTGAACTGACTGAAAAGAGTTTGTTCATGTACACTGTATCAGTGATTTATAAAGTAGAGTTTGTAACAACTCAGCATTGGATAAGTTAACTCATAAGATTAATTTTTAAGTCAGAGCTCTTCTTAGAGTATTTTCAAATACCGCTTTTTGTAAAAGCTGATTATATTTGTTAGAATTCACATTCATTGTGGCAAAAGCAGGCAATATATCAAAAAAAAGCAATAAGAAAAACAATAAAAAGTGTATTTTTCTGCTGGATATTTATTAAAAATGCCTTGTAATTCATTGGCATATATTTATTTTTAAGAAATTACTAACAATCAAGTCAAGATCATTAGAACAACAAAGAATTTTACCATATTATCGGAAATATTTTGTAAGCATTCTATATTATAATAGATTATATATTTATTTATCAATTCCATTTTTATTATAAATGTTTTTAAATATGCTTACACTTGTCTTGATTTGTTTCTTAATTCTGAGATGATTTTATTTGCCACGGGACCCTTACTAGAGAGTGCTTAGCGTAATTTGTACTCGTGTCACAACTTTGAACTCGCGTTACATGAGAACGCACTCGTTTTCAGCCAAGCAGGAGCGCGTAATTTTTTCGCGTACATTATTAAAGATATAAGTGGGTCGATGGACAACTGGAGTAACACAGGAAAGCTTGGATTTTTAGTATTTAATGGCGCAATCTGGGGCTGTTTGAAAACCAACAGTCAACGAGTATTATTTAGAGTGAATAAAAAAAAAAAACAAAAAAACAGGTAGAGGAAAGAACAATGAAATAATATTATAAAAATAGTCTCGTTAGTTCAAGCTTGTCAAACATTAAAAAAAAAAGAATCAGCTTTGAATGATAATAATATATAAAATTCATATAACGTTTATGTAGAGCCTTTAAGCGCCTTACGACGTGCAAGAGAAAGCTATCTAACCTACTTACTGCAATATTACAAACTTTGAAGATCTCAACAATTAAAATTAAAAAACAAAAGCTCCGGGAACTTTCTAATTTACGTTTTGAACTCAGTTGATAACACTAAATCACTTAAAAAAAAGGTTTTAAAATAAGAAAAAAAAAAGATTCATATAAACAGAGCAGCTACACTAAAAGCTCTGTCCCCATAAGTTTCAGTCTAGGATTTTGCTACTTGGAGACGGTTGGCAGAAGATGCTAAGTCGTCTATAGTAGGCCTGTAGTAATTAATCATACTTGAAATGTAGCTAAGTGCCTGCATGATTATTTAACACTATAAAAAATAAGACGCAATTTTATGCATAGCACACTGCAAGTGAAGTTATTTTAGAGCTGGTATAATATGCCTTGGTTACATTTCCTGGTATATGCTATTAACCGCGCCGCAGAATTCTGAACATACTGTATACTTCTGTAGTTATCTTTTTGTTGACACCATACAACAGAGCGTTACAGTGATCAAGCTTGGAGATAGCTAATGCAGGAATGAGGATTTTGTCAAACTCCGGAGTTATGAACTTGCCGATTTTAGCTATGCACTTAGGTTGATAAAAAGAGGACTTACAGATGGCATCGACATGATGTGTCATGCTAAGATATTTGTTGAATACAACTCCTATATCTGCTGGGGTGCATGTATTATGTCTCCAACATCTAAAGAATATATGCTGGGCTGAAATCTAAATTTAGAGCCCAAGACAAGGATCTCAGACTTATCCTTATTTGACTTGAGCTTGTTGGCACCCATCCACTGTTTTATTGCAGTGACACAGGTTTTTAATTTGTGGACGGCAGATTCGAGCTGGCAATCTTAACCAGGACGAAAGGAGGCAAAAAGCTGTTTTTCATCTGCGTATGTATGGTACGATATACCTTGCTCGCGCAGAATGTCCCCCAAGGTGCTGTTACATCAGAGGAAAGATAGCTTCGAGAACAGATTCCTGAGGTACCCCAGACTTCAACCGCCAGGTAGAAGATCTTATAGACCTCACATTGAGCCGCATTACGTGAACTCCATGGCGGCGTGACAGTAATATCTCATGGTCGACCGTGTCGAAGGCTGTTGACAGGTCTTGTTATCAATCGCGCGAAGGACCTGCAGATGGGCGGTATCAGTGCTGTGATATATGCGGACTGATAAATTTCGTGAAGACCGTCAAGTACCAAGTACTCCAACAGCTGCGTAGCTATTACCCTCTCCGTTGCTTCAGAGACAAAGTTAACATGAGGTTGGACACCGGTCTGAAGTTGGGATCAACCTCAGAGTCTAACAATGGTTTCTGTTGGTCCATTAACGCTTATCGAAATAAAATTATTAACATTGAAAAACATGAACAACTGGTGAGGGTCACTCTTTTTGAGGTATTAAAGCCAATTCTAACAGGAAACAATAAGTCATTTTAAGTTTCAAATAGTACTCCGTTTTCCGATATCATAAGAGCAAACGCCGTTGCCAGATCTTGGCAATCCTGATTCTTTCGCCTCAGAGCATATTATGGGAAACGGTTAATGATAAGGAGGACTTTTAAAAGCAGGTTCGCAATTAATAATCTTTTTTAACAGTTGACGGTTAAATCATTAAATTTACTTGGGAAGTTTGACGGCTGATGGATGACACTGCTAAGGCCTTCTATATGACTCTCAGTGAGAGTCATTGGGTGGGACTTAGTCTCTCCCGGCTTAGCTTGTTTCTGTTACCCGTTGTACTGAGCCATTGCTTCTAGGAGATCACCGAACACCATTTGACAAAGGCTCTTTCGGTTAGCTGTAAAATTGAGATATGCTAGATATCATTAAGATATATGATCATGGTCATCAAGCGGTGCCAATATCATTGAGAGAAAGGAACTCACAAAGTAGAAGCGAATGTATTGTAGATAAAAGTGATTAGAAGGTGCCAATCATTTCAAATGAAACACGATGGCTCTGTTAGCCTGAAAGTTTATTCCCGTCGAAATGTTAACAATAGAATAGAAGGAAGGAAAAGGTATCACCTCACCTCTCTAACAATGATCCTGATTATCTCTTTCATCGGCCGTACTTCTACATGCATGAAAACCTGCACGGTTTGCGAAAAAACTTGACGTTTATTTGATGAAAAATTTTAGCATAATGTTCCTGTTTTCTTTTAGTTGAAGGGAAGAAGCAATTCAGGCTTAATTGAGCGTGTCCCTTTCTTCGATATACTGCTAATATTCAACATAATTGGCTAAACAGCTGTGTCAATTAGAAAAGACTTCTTCATATGCTTGTACACAAAATGGATTGATAAAAAACTGACACCTGACGACGCCCACAGCAATGAAATTAATTTGTTGTTGTTACTCTATACACTGCCAAATCTAGACCTGAATAAGAATAATGCTCTCCCTCCTGAGGCCAAAATTTTCCAACAAAATATATCACCTTTCTGTTGACGGAGCAAACAAACTCGTGTTGAAAGTAGGTTTATCCATTTTCGACAAAATAACGAGAGTAAGGGATCTTTCGAACTCTATCTAATCGAGATGTTGCCAAATGTTCCTGTTTTCCTTGGCGTGGTGCATATGTTATTGTTAATGAGACTCCTTTGACAATTATTAACGTTTTTCAAATGAGAATATAACGATGAAGGAAAATATATAATCAATAACAAGGAACTTGAAGAAAACCTTACCAAAATACGCAGCCAAAAAAAAAAAAAAAAAAGAATTCGAATAACATGCAAAACGTCGGAAAACATTTTCACAAACAATGACGGAGACACACACAAAATTCTCATGGCCACTTGTTACGGTATGTCATAACCCTTGATTTACTTCATTGTCCGAATTTTTTAACATGCATCAACAGCTTTCAATAATGAAGCCAAAAACAAAAAAAAACGGAAATTAAATATTGGCTCAGCTCGAGGTCTGCTCGACAAAATAACGTTATCACATGAACTTGTTACCACAATTCATAGCCCTGATAGCAGACGAAAACTCGCCTCTTGTGTTGATCCGACTTCACCACTGAAATTTCCCGACTGACTGTGTAAATATGGCTTACGAACTTGCTGTTGTAATATTGACAGCAGTAGCCTGTTTCAGTCTGAAAGATAATTCTGTGTTGGCTCAATCGGAATGTACCTTGGTTGAAAACACCTCCGACAAGTGCCGCAGTGCCAATTATATCAAAATCCTGGAGCAAGAGGTACACAAAGGTATGGAAAAGAGAATTAAACTTCCAGGCAGGCAAAGAGAAATCAGATGGTTATGCGGGTCATCAGAAGAACGAACTGCATGGGACACCCCTGCCAATCAGCTTCGAATCACCTACCAGAGCGACGGAACAGTCCGATGGAGCGTTTACGACTGCCCCGACCTCTCAGGACCAACGAAAGCGGGATTGCGATGCGCGGTTCCAGAAACCACCGAGTTTTGTCCTAAATTTAATGGAGCAAACTCCAGTGCTTGTGTCTTCGAGTTGAAGAAGTCGACTTCTCATGTGGATCAGAAGACTACGACAGTATCAATCACTGGGACTCTGAGAGCGGAGGTAGAAAAGAAGGCCGGCTCGCTGACAGCAAAAGGTTCTGCTGAAGTACAAGGCGCAGTCTCGCATTCCATCACCAAAGCAAAAATCGTCACCTACGAGTCCCGACAGTTTCTCGTCATACCCCCGGGCTTTTCCTTTTGCGCCTTCACCAACAACACTAGTGTGGATGATGTCAATGCTCCCACCGGTTTTCGTTGGCGATGCTCGTTCCCTGAGTACATTCAAGCAGCGGAGAGGTTTAGCAACGGACGCTGTACGAGCTTGGAAATCTGCGAAGTTGGTGTATGTGGAAGGACCGTGACGACAAGTGGTGGAAAATCTGTCTTCATGAAACTAACTGTTCTCGAAGCGTTAATGATCTTGGTATTTTTTCGTTCACTTATTGATTAGTCGCAATAGTTAAGGCTCGCTTAAAAGGTCCAATTTGGTTGTTGATGTGCAATATATATTCCGACTTCACTAGTCACAGTAGTTATAGATTATTCTGTAAATCAAGTCGTGGGCT